ATAACGCTGATCGGCTTCAGTAAAGGTTGTGTTGTGCTGAACCAGTTGATTATAGAATTCCACCTTCTGTCTGTTGTGGAGGATATGGCTGCTGATAGTCTCAGGAAGTTTATGAGTAAGGTAAGATTTTATGATAAAAATTGCTACCTATTAGATCATCCTGACAAGTTACAATTTAGTTTGTTCATGTATAATCTGTAATTACAATTAAAATTAATCAACCATTGTATATGGACCACCATAAGCAAAGCTTGAAATTTCATTGTAATAAGTTTTTAAGAGGTATGAGTAATTTTCAGTATTTTCAAATTGTTTCTGAAGCAGGAAGATGATACTAGGATTTAGCTTATGATGGTGTGATTATTAATATTAGATACATCTTATAATTTTCCTAAATACTGTTTAATCTTTGTCCTTCTATCATTTTTTTCTAGTATGATAGACCTAAGTAAAAAAAAAAAAAAAAAATATATATATATATATATATATATATATATATATATATATATATATATATATATATATATATATATATATATATATATATACATATACATATACATATATATATATACTATATATATATATATATATATATATATTATATATATATATATATATATATATATTATATATATTATATATATATATATATATATATATATATATATATATATATATATATATATATATATTTTATATATATATATATATATATATATATATATATATATATATAAATATATATATATATATATATATATATATATATATATATATATATATATATTTTATATATATATATATATATATATATATATATATATATATAAATATATATATATATATATATATATATATATATATATATATATATATATATATATATATTATATATATATATATATATATATATATATATATATATATATATATATATATATATATATAATATATATATAATATATAATATATAATATATATATATATATATATATGTACATAAAAGTATGCAGTAGTTACACTATTCATTTAAGCTAGCTATTCTGTGTGTCTATGCATGTGTTTGTGTTTATTAACCCATTCACAAGGGGTGAAGTCCTATCACATTATAGCAAAAAATCCCTGACTCTAGGTGACCCTGATCCCACTCATGAGGCCATTTCCCAATTGCCTAGATGATGGTCTACAAGCAAAGCTGTGAGCCAGTCAATCACCCAGGTGTGGAGCAGCATACACTAATGCACCCCAGTGTTACCAAAATTTTTAACTGAAAATTGTTTTTCATGAACAGTTAACTGAGGAAGACACATAAGAATGTCCTGGGGAATGTTATGCTTTAATCCCCCACTCCTCTTCTACCTCTCTTGGTTTTGGTGTCAAGTTTTCAATGATTTTCTGCACATATATGATATAACATCTCTCTCCATCTTTGTAATGAGAAAAATGTAAGTTATTTTACTCTGTCTCAGTAATTAAGACCTATGTTTAATTTTCAGGTGAAGGTTCTTTGAACCTGTTCCTGTGATATATCTTGGATTCCATACTTAGTAGATTTTCCAGTCTTGAAATCACTAGTGTCTTCCACAGAGGCATTGACAATTTGGAACTTTTCTTTGAAAAATCCTCACCCAACCATCCATAACTTTTCCTTTGTTGACTACCTGCTCAGTGTGATGACTGAAGCTCATGCCATTACTCATAAACAGGCCTAGTGCTTTTACTTTTTTTTCTCTCTCTCTCTTCTTCTTTTATCTCTATTCCTTCAGCTGAGCATGATCATGGTCTTCCAGTTAGACCATATCTTATCATTTCAAATTTATCAGCATTAAAATTCACATTGCTTTCACTTGCTCATTTACAAATGTAAATCCTTTTTGTAGTTTGTCTTCTTCATCTATTAAATTAATGGTCCACTTATCCTTGAATTATCAGCAAAAGATGCTAATCTGGAGAGTTTAATATCTTTATAAATGTCCCCAGTCATAATTAGGAATAACAGGTTGAAGAGCTAAGCCTTGTGACATTCCTTCAAACAATTGATTAATTAAATAAGATATCCATTAGCATTTATTTTTGGATTGTGAGAAAATCAAATATCCATATTCCTACTTTTCCTCCAACTCCCATGTCTTTTATCTTATAGAATCAACCTTATTAAAAGCTTTTGCAAAGCCTATGTACATTTATCAACTTCTTTATTCACAGTTAGGTCTTATAGTATGTGGGCACAGTGGTTCAGGATTTGTGCTAAACAAGATCTCTTTTGAAAGCCATGCTGGCTAGGGTTTAATTTGAATTTTTCTTCCACATACTGGACAAATTATTTTTCATACTGCCCACTCCAGTATTTTATGATACGGGATGCTAGTGTTAATAGTTTGTCGGTTTTGGCCTGATGTTTGTCCTTCAGGTCCAGTTGCCGAGTTTGTCTCAGTGTCTGTTATTGTCTCAGTTATGTATCTTTCACTGAAGGATGTTCAGACTTAAGATTTCACTATTTTTTTGTGATTATTAGCTACTTCCTTTCTTGGGCAGCCTCATTTCCACCCTTTTCTATGATTTCTTGTTGACATAGGTGTAAAACACACACACGCACGTGCGCGCGCGCACACACACACACACACACACACACACACACACACACACACACACACACACACACACACACACACACACACACACACACACACACACACACACACACACACACACACACACACACACACACACACACACACACTGTATGTAGCCTCAACTGCTCTTTTTCTTTTCTTCATGTATTGTTATTATTATTGTTATTCTTTATTTGTTATTTATTTTATTATTGAGTGGATATTAGGCTAGGCATATTGCAATATTGCAATGATAAATTTTTTTTGGTGGATATGGTACTGATTGAGGATCTACATATTATGTACACTATTCATTGTATTCTTCTTTAATAGGTACGTAATATGTACTGGCTTGATGGCGGCCATGCAGGTGGCAGTAAAACGTGGATCACAGATCATGCTGTACTGAAAGACATTGCATCCCAGCCAAATCTTGGTATTCATATACATGTTTCGCCATATCAGGTAAGGAACGAATTAATTTATATGTATAATTTTTTAGATTTCCCTTCCAGAATGTTGCAATGGAGTAGCAGAATAGTCTGTAGAATTCACTTGAGGATTGTCCCATGTAATCCAAAATCTTGGAACAGTTTACATTTTATCAGTTATGTCAGCTATACAATTTTGTCCGTCTTGCTTGACAGAGTATAGTTAATCATGACCTGACAGAGTATAGTTAATCATGACCTATCATTTATTGTCAAAATATATTGTGCAAGAGTATTTAAAGTAGGAATAGAATATGAGGCTCAGGCTGTTTTCTCATTTCATTAATTTGTCACAGAATTATTGAGTAATTACTCCCTTTTGTTCACACAGGTCCAAGATGATCAGCGTCCATGGATCAGGAAGGAGTGCAAAGTATTTTATAATGTCCTGCGGCGTAATGGTGCAAATATTAGTTATACGTTACATTGTGAGCACGAGCAGCCTTCACTTCTTTCTCACTTTAAGGTACTTGATTTATTCTCTTAAAAATCAGTCATATATATCCACTGATTACTGTTGTTTTCATTATGTAGTAATGGTTGTTTCATCATTACATTTATTTCTAACCAAAAACTCATTGTTTTATTATCTCCAATTATGTATATAAATGTTAATACTGTACTGTGAAATATTCGTATTTTATGATTCACGATATTTTTTGATTTTGATGCCACTTTGTTGCTTTTTGTTTAGAGAGTCAGATTGTTGAAGTGTCAGTCCTTTGTTGGATTTGCAGTGGTAAAAATGTATCCAGTTCATATCATGAAAATCTGTTTAAAAGAAGATAATACATGTTGTTACTTTATATATATATATATATATATATATATATATATATATATAATATATATATATATATATATATATATATATATATATATATATATATATATATATATATATATATATATATATATATATATATATATATATATATATATATATATATATATATATATATATATTACATATATATATATATATTACATATATATATATATATTACATATATATATATATTACATATATATATATATATTACATATATATATATATATATTACATATATATATATATATTAAATATATATATATATATTACATATATATATATATTACATATATATATATATATTACATATATATATATATATTACATATATATATATATATTACATATATATATATATATTACATATATATATATATATATTACATATATATATATATATATTACATATATATATATATATTACATATATATATATATATTACATATATATATATATTACATATATATATATATATTACATATATATATATATATTACATATATATATATATATTACATATATATATATATATTACATATATATATATATATTACATATATATATATATATTACATATATATATATATATTACATATATATATATATATTACATATATATATATATATTACATATATATATATATATATATATATATATATATATATATATATATATATATATATATATATATATTACATATATATATATATATATATATATATATATTACATATATATATATATATATTACATATATATATATATATATATATATATATATATATATATATATATATATATATATATATATATATATATATATATATATATATATATATTACATATATATATATATATATATATATATATATATATATATATATATATATATATATATATATATATATATATATATATTACATATATATATATATATATTACATATATATATATATATATTATACATATATATATATATATATATATATATATATATATATATATATATATATATATATATATATATATATATATATATATTACAGGCTGGAGTAAGCTTCACTTCAAGCAATACTTTTACTTTTAACATTGCTTTATGTACCACCTCTTAAGTAAAGTTTAAGAGATGGTACTTTTTTTTCTTTAATATGTATCATCATAATGAAATGATATTTGAAATTAAGTTGGTAATGACAGTAGTAATATCTGTAATAATTATTATGTTGATTATAACAAAAATATCAGTTTACTTGCTCAAACTCTTCTTGGGTTCTTGCATCAACCTTGTTCTTGTGTTAAAGATTGTGAAGATTCATCTACCTGCTGTTTGTAAAAGCCCAAATTCCTGAATATAACATTTGTTATACTATTTTATTACATTTTATTGTTCATGCTATGTAAAGGACAGTAGACTGTATGTGGTAAATTATGATACATATTCCTTCTACAGAATATATATTTTAATTCAGAGAAAAAGTTAGGGTGGTCACTCCATAGATCAGAGGATGTAGGGAGTGGCCTTCTTTATATTCTGTCTCCCTTTCATTTCCTTTTATGCTTTGCTTGGATAAATTTATTAGGTTTGAGATATTGTGCGCTGTTCATCCTGTAACCATGTTGTAAAACCCTGAAAAGTATCACTTGAAACTAAGAAACTTTTTTGGATTATGTGAATCTATTCACTCCCACCAAAAACCATTTCATTATGTCAGAAAGCAGTTTACACAATTCAGTTTTGAATTACCATACACTAGTCAGATATGATTTTATATACTAATAAGTGTGCCCAAGATTACAATTTCCTTTGATTTTCTTGCACTGCTCTGTAGAACTAATTGTTTTCTTGGAAATCAAGAAATCAGAATGCAAAGAGAGGTAATTGAACACTATTGGTGTCATTTTATGTGTTGTAACTCCTTTCACAAATATGGATGTCTTCACTATGTGTGTTTGATGATGATGATGATGATGACAGGAGCAACATTTCAGTTTTTGCTTGGGGGGGGGGGGGGGGTGATAAAACTATATTAACTAAATGTTATGATATATTATAAATTTCTATACATAACATTTTTTCTGGTATTCACTGATGATATATATATATATATCTAATTATATGTTGTTATAGTTTTACTACCACTTGCTGCAGTAAAGTTTTATGGAAAAAAAAGGTGAGTACCATGGTACTGGTGATGGCGATGAGATTATGATATATACATGTTTAGAAGCATGCATCTGCTCTTGAACCTTTTGATTAAGAGGTAAATCTAGTATTACTGTATATAAATATACAGTATTAAAATATGTAAAGATCGATGATAACCAGGGATGTCAATTGGGGGGGGGGGGGGGGGGGGGCAGCTGCTGTACCAGTCTAGTATATACTCTGTCAAATGATCCACCTTACTTTGTAGGTGAATGGAGAGCAAGAGATTGAAATAACAGTGAATGGTTTCAGATAGTTTACTTCCTCCTTTTCAGCAGAGTAAAGAGTTACAAAGTAGGAGTGACCATTTTGAATATTGACGCTCGACTGGCCTTTCAATATTAGAGAAAGGTAATGGATCCTCAGTGAGCATACATATTATGATGTGCATTCACTTAAATGGCAAATCCACACTAAGGTGTTCATTTTTATCAGAATATCCTAAAACAATCTGATATCATTTTATTCTGTCATGTAAATTATGGTAAAGTTTTTATAAGAGGAATGGGACATACATTGATCTTATAACTGCTAGGTCCAAAATAATGGTGTCAGGAACTTATTGGTGCATCATATATTTTTCAGTCTCTTTATATTTTTCTTACATCAGTGACACATGTTGTAAGTCATTGCTCATTTCATTGGTAGCTATTATTTTAGGAAGGAATACATTTATGTGTATATCATTAACCATCAATAATATAAAATGTCCTTTTTATATAGAAATAGCATTTGGCTTTCAATAGAAGTAGGATTATAAAAATGAAAGTAACACATATCTCAGCTGCTGCAGTATGATTGTTTTCTTAATTATTTGAACGATACCTGGTGTCATATAATGTCAGGCAGTATTGATAAATCATGTGAGATATACTAGATGTTTAAGATTATGTTGGTGATTTTAGATGTTATAATCACCACCACCTGTTGATCCTTCCAGAAGTATCAGGATACAGTATTGTGTTATTTAAGTCCTATCAGTGTCCACACTTCAATAAATTGTGATAAGCATTTGAGTACTTTTATTTTACCCATCAGCTGTGCCATCCCTCATTAGTCGGTGTGGACAAAAGTAGGGTTTTTTTTTTTTTTTTTTAATAATGCTATTAATATATTGTTGTATTTGCTGATTAATATATTGTTGTATTTGCTGATTCGAATAGCTTTTGAACATGATGGCAATTTATTTTTTACAGCTACAGTTGCAAGAACTAAAAAATTGGAAGCTGCCACCCCTTTCCCCCCATGTAGATTAGCCACTAAAGCAATTTCACTCTGGACTAAGACATGAGTGTACTGGCCAGTTCAGAATATCATAGTTTCTCAGCAACTTTAAATTTTCTTTGCCATATGCCAGGATGTGATACCTACATATTTGAAAAAGTCAAGTATATGGTCCTTAGATATTTCCAAATACTAGTCAACTTTCTTTTTAATGAATTTGGGTAAGTAATGAAACCTTGTGTAGACATGCCCCACATTATCAGATGGATAATAGCTTTTTGCCTTATATTTAGGTATCTTTTGGGAGGTAACAGACACCCTCTTTGTACAAGTAAATTTATGACACAAATGTAATATTTTTAGTTCTGAAAAGAATTGTCCTCTATTTTTCTATCTGCAATTACTGTTCCAGTGAGTGATGTACTGTACCAGTATTTAGAAGAGGCATAATTTATTTTTTCTTATGTACTTAAAAACATATATGGATTAACTGACTAATGGTTGTAACACTATCTAAAGTAATCTTTTATTAGTGTTGCATGCACAATAAATAATGGCTCACAAAATTTAGGATAAATTTTTCATACTTGGAAATACACATGAAATCTAAATCTATTTTAGGTACTTTAAATTGTAATCATTCATCATCTGTGCTCTCTAAAATTAATTAGTGTTGCATTACTGAATGAGGAATATAAGGAAATAAATACTGGAAATTAAATTTAACTGCTTCATTTGCTTTCCAAAAATTATACAGGTTGTATGTTGTTTTTTTTATTTGTCACTATGGTCTCATTGCCATACAAGTATAGATAAGTTCTAAAGAATTATTATCATCACTTTCAGGCATTATTGGTTCCTGATTCAGGAGGTATAAATCAAACATGAAATCATTTACAAATTTATTACAAATCCTAAATATTCTCTTAATAGCACAACTAATTACATGACTGGCTGCCTGCCACACCTATTATCCTGAATATCATGGATATCTCCCTTTTTGCTGTATCATAGAAGTGCACAACAAAATACTAGTCACACATAAAACCTAAATGGATGTCTCTTAAACAAATCAATATGATGTTCCTGCATGATAATGTACACTACACATGGTTACTTCATGTACTGCATGGGGTCATGAAAATCACATTATGAAAGGAGGAAGAGGGTTGCAATAAAATAAAGGCATCTTTAAGGTATACAAACAGAAACGCTGATGTCCTGAGAAGTTAGAGGATATGTAAATTCTTATTTTGTGCTTTATAATGTTTCTTTACACTTCAGTTGTATAAAGCAATCTTCATTTATATTATAATTATGTCTAAATGGAAATTTCATTTTCTTCATGATCACAAAGCTTGGTTATACTTTCTACCACATGATTATTCCATATGTAATCAATGTGGGTGTTCTGTATAGGAAAACATTTACACATGCCTGGGAAAATATAAAATGGGTCATTTTGATTGACTTCAGTTCTAAAATTACAAAATTACTAACCTGTGGCTGATTTGTTATACAGGCAAAGAAATTGCATGTTCTTACACCATCTTCAGATGGTTCAAAATATATGCCTATAATTTGTCGAGCTAAACTGTCTGATTCTAAACACAGCTGATCTTGAAACAGGCAAACCATAATTTCCAATGTGATTATTAGGTTACAGTATATCAGTGACAAACAGGTTACAAAAATATGTTTTTAAGTTTCTGGTAAACATGGGAGTAAATATATTTGGGCACAAGGGGATATTTTCTGTGTTTGTGTTTACTTTTATTCAACCATAATCTAAGAATTACAAACAGTACTCGCTATACATTTACAAATAAATTAATAATAAGCTTCTCAGGAATGAATCAGCAACAATAAATTTCATCACAACAAATTAAGAATGATCAAGGAATGTCTGTAGTGGTGTGGAACAATTACTGTGAGTATAGATATAGATATTTTTATTGATAAATGTGAATTCTTGAAACATCCAGTTATATTATCTATCAAATGGCAGCTTCAGCACATGTCAATCATGATAATGTGATGAAATATCTACAAAAAATGACCTCTATGAAAACTTTTGCACAGCACACCTTTTACAACTTACCTAATTAAAATGGCAATAGCAAAACAATTATAATACAGATGATTTATTCTTTTAATAGTATAACTCAATATTCTCATATATTGACTACTGTAAATGCTGCGTGTAGCCAAATGACAGATGCTAAATTACGATGAGGCACCAGATTGCAATGACCTAGTGAGATTCATTATTACATTGGCATGTGAAATCATAGCTAAGCAGATCAAGGTTTTAATGTTCTTTGTATATTAAATGCAGTAACACTTTCGTAATGAAAAAAAAAAGGGGGGGGAAATATTGGTTTGAGTCTTAATTTACCTGTCAGAAATCTGTCTGCATATAATTTTTAATGAGAACAATTTACAGACGTGTAGAATTAACGTATACGAAATACACAACAGAAGATAACTATCTTACAGAAAATTTGTGAGTAAATTATGCATATATATATGACCCATTGACCCTGCCATTTCACACAAGCAACTTGAACTGCAGAAGAGTATTTTAATGTACACATATAGTGTCAATAAATAAGGTACTGAGAAGCATAATAATTACACTGAAGGCCAATTGCAAATATTTCACCAATCCATCTGTCAAAAAAGAGCACATGCATACCTCCATATAAACTATAAATGTATGCATGATAAAATAGTAAGCAAAAAAGTATATGCAGCATATCTGTGTACATGAACATGTACATTTGGTAAACATTTATATACAACAGCATTAACCATGTGTTTCTCAAAATATGTTAGTGAGTGTGAATGTATGTATGTATGTATTTTGTTTGCAAGTGCTATCTGTCACTGCCTTGGAAGATGGAACTGTTCTGCTATCACAGTTTATTGATATATGACTAAAAGCTGAATGTTCCCAATAGTTAAGAACATTAACAATTCTTGGCTGGAATTTGAAGTCACCACTCAAGAGGTGGAAGACACCCGAGATCTGCTCTTACGCTGATTGACAATGGACAAGGCAACAAAAGCACTCTCTGGCTTTTGCTACTTCTCCTTAGCATACAGAGCATATAAAGTATTTCAAATTCTTCATTAACATACCATGACACTTTTGTTTGTACAGTTTACACTTAGAAAAATCTTCAAAACTATGCAAACCATCAACAGTATTTATGAACACAAAGATCTGTACATAAAACCCAGCACTGTCTCTGTAAATATACTGTCAAATAGTAACAAATATATTTTTTTTACAAATTGCACAATATACTCGAGCATTCAAATTACAGAATTTCCAAAAGTCTCATCTTTTTTGGTTTCAGCATTTTCATAAATTAGTATGGTGATCACTTCCTACGAATACATTACAATTATCACATGTTTATTTTATAAATATAATAATTATCAATAATTACATTTTACTTCAAACACAAATCTTAGTTCCATGATACACATCTTTTTTTGTCTGTTTTTTATCCTTTTGTATTTTTCTAAACACTTTTTCATACACATTCTGTAATATATGATATCATATAATGTTTTCTTCATTATTTTCTATTTATTCTACTGCAAAGCCACAGGTTTCCTCCACAGCTTGGGTCAGTTTCTCAAACATCTTGCTGTGCGACTCATATGGAGGTATGTCTATGCGGTTGAAGCAAGTGTGAGCTTTGGGCAGGTTCTCTGCAAATTAAATAAAAGGTTGTAGTCAACTATATGAGTAATAAAAAAATTATGTCAATTAGTTAACAGAACAATAAAAAGTTACCAAATATATGTTTATATCAACATGAAATATTTATATTAAACACATACATACATACCTGCTTACAGACCTATAAGTGCAGATTAGCATGTACCCCCCCCACCCCCACAAGACAGAGAGAAGCAGACAAAGATAGACAAACACACAGACAAATATATAGAAGACATACCTGTTGGAGCTTCAATCTGATGAATGGTGAAGAGCCTAGGTCCTGCAGCGCCAGTAGAACCTTGAAGGGCCTTGAACCCTTGCAGAGGAACACGAGATGATCCTGTCACGAACTGAAGCAGTCTTGCTCTCATTTCCTCTGAATACGAGTCGACAATTTGCCAGAACCAGCCGACTACCGGTGTTTCGGGTGTGCAGTGCTACAAAGATGACGGAATTTGGTAAAATATATAATAAAGCAAAACAAATTAAAAAAATAACATGGAAACATTTACATCAGCTTGCCTATTTGATTATTGGTTTGAATTACTACATAGGATACTAATATTTGATGCTCCTCCAGAACAGGTTACAAAGATTGCAGATTTTGGTTTCATTATCTATTCTTTAAACATAAACATTGAGTTCTTACCTTTAACCTTGTATTGGCCTTCCAATCATCAATATCAATCTTGCCTAATCCACCAATTATCAGTTCTAATTCCCTTTCATCAAACGGCTTCAGTAGATGTTGTGGTACGACTTCTGTGAAGCCCTTCTGCAAAGCTGCAAACTGCTGCTCAATACCCTGGAATCAAAGTGAGAGAATTAGAAGATGTTATTCATAAAATGATGCATAGTCTCTCAGATCACACAACACATTTTGAAAGTTAGACACATTTAAACACTATGCATCTTATATCATACTTCCATATACTATAAGAATCCTCTTTGCGAGTACATAATAAACAGGAAAAAAAATGCATGGACCTGTACTCTGCAAAAACTTACCTGCATAAAACGGTAAGTAACATAGAGCCTGACATATTCTTTTTTATTATCTTCAGTAACTGCAACATTACTGCCTCCAGGCTTGAGTTCCCTCATCTGAATGACCCCAAATGAGTCATGTTCAACAGTGAATGTGGTATCAATGACATCCGTAATGTCATTCTCCCTGAAAGAAAAATAAAGTGAATTAAATACATTTTACCTCCATAAAATAAGTTGTAATAAATAAACTTCCTTAACTTTACACATTAAAATAATCTCAGAAATTAAACCAATACAAAATAAAAGACGATAAATCCATTTCCATTGTACTTACAGCATCCAGTTGAGCGAACGATGAAGTTCTGGATCAACAGCTTCTATATCATCCAGAACTATGAGTTTGTTGAGCAACATCTTGTAGAATGGCATGGAGAACCCACCATCTATGTAGTGTCCATGGAAAACTGCCATTCCTATCACTCGACCCACAAAATGAAAATAGGACAGATGCTCCTAAAATAAAAAAGAAAACAGATGAAATTATAATACTATCATAATAATAATAATCAAATCAATTACATTTCCATTAAGTATTTAAAAGACAAGATATATTTTGAACTGATTCTCTGGTAATTAAAGATTACAACTGAAAGCAATCCAAACAAAAGTAATAACAGAAGAACATCTTAGCAGTTTACTAGAATTGAATGGCATTATCATCTCTTTGGACTACATTAAATAAAGAGTACCAAACAATATCATTTTCATATTAACCAACTGACATCCACTGTGCTTTTATTCTAATATTTTTTTTTACAAATGATGGTTTCACAAGCACTTAATCACCAAGGAGTTATTTACTAGGCCTACCTTACCTTAACCCAAAGGCCCCAGAAAAATATTATATTCACTGTAATACTGTTTTGTGAAATGTCTGCACATAGATGGCTCTGCAAGTGCTTAGCCACAAAAGAGTCAATTAGTGGAACTTGTGACCTCACCTGATTTCACCTTTCCTTGAGTTTGCAATTAAATGCTTGTACTGATAGCATTATTAATGCAAGCAGTATCATTGTTGTTATTCTTATTATAGACTTTATAATTATTATAGTGTTATTGAAATTGCTAACCAGAAAATATTTTTGAAAATCAAGGAAAAGGTGAGTCAAGGTAATACTTGTAACTGGTTCTTTGATGACTTAATACTTGTAGAAACATCTATGTATAAGAACTATTAATAAATTAAACTCAGGCATGGCATATATGTACATGCTATCCATGGTGGCTTGGGTTTAAATTATTATATATACCCTTTCTTGAATATAGATGGGAAAAAAGTTTTATTTCAGATATTATTACTACTGATACTAATGTTATTATTACCATTATCATCATTAGAACATTACCAAATATAACAATAGTAATAAAAAAGTCTTTCTGTTAACTAATTCAAGGAATGCGGTAAACAGGTAGGGCTAGTAATAGACTCCTTGGTAATTAAGGGCTTCGGAAGCCATCCGTGTGTAAAGAAAACTAATGCACCAGAAGATAGTGGACAAGGAGTGTAGACATGCCTTTCTAGCATCAATAGGTTCATATATGCAATAAAATGTATGCAATCCTATACTATAATTTTTATAAAATCTTATAAAATTAAAAAGATATCCTTTCTCTTATCTAAACCACAAACAGAAATATATTGTTAAAGATTTTAAAGACAGCTAAAAATTTAATGCTTGCACATAATATAACAATACTCACTGGATTCACACTTGAGTCTGCATTGATCTGAAGTGTGTAAATGTCATCCCTGGAATACTGGAAAAGTCCGTAGTATGGATTGAGCATTTCATGGGACAACAGGTACAACCATTCTCGAGCAACTCCACCATAATCAAGTCCTTCTTCACCTTTGAACTTAACCATTAATCTTTTTCGTAGATCTTTTGGCCGCATCTTCATGATTTGTCTATAAGATTCCTCAAAGATTTCACCACGTGGTATGTCCAAACGACAGTGTCCACTCTGTGGCTGGAGGCACTGTAGTTCTGCCCTTAACACCTTCATCTTTGCCACTAAATCTCGCTTATATTTTGGGAGACAATCACCTTCTAGGTCTATCACAGCTGGATCCTTAGATCCAGGAGTATTATTGTTACTACTTATTTGTAAGTTTGTGCTGTTGTTTTGCAACACCACAGGGTTACTAGTGTTACTGGTATTGACAGTAGTGTTCATACTACTATTTAAACTACTGCTTAAACCACTTCCTTCACTGCTTATATTACTAGTATTACTAACACTTGTAGGCACAACACTTGTTGAAACTTGAGTACCATTGATAAGTGAATTATTGTGTTCTTCAGTACTAGGCAAAGCACTTGAAATAGCGTCCATTGCTGAGTTAGCTTCAGGAGAGGGCCCTCTACTTCTGGATGAGCTATTTCTTCTACTGTTAGAGGAACTATTACTTCTATTATTTGAGACACTAGTGGAAGAGACTGGAGGACTCTCAGTCTGTGAACTAATTCTGGGGTCACTGCCACTTCCACTTTCAATTATACTAGATCGATTGCTCCCTTCACTGCGATTCCTGGAAAAGGGAAATGGAAAGAAGATGTTAGAAAGAAGAAAAATATCCTTTTTTTTTTTTTTAATACAAACCAAGTACTGCATTTTTTCATACAAAATCATTTCATTACATCACTACTTACCTGAGTATATTATTGAGAATATGACTGTTAGAAAGCCTGGGATCAGTGAACTGTGTCGTCCGATTGCTGTGGTCTAAGAAATATGGCCTGCCACTTGGAGTATGTCTGAGTTCCCATCCTCTCGGGAGTGGCTCCAGCTCATCAATATTTATATCTCCTAAATCTCGGGGTACTCTTGGATCATGCCACGTGGAAGTACCAGTGTGAATGTTATAGTAGTACACCTGACCTTGCTGTGTTGTTCTCATTTCTGTGGAAAACATACAAGCAAATCAAAGACATCAAATAATAAGCCATAAATTTAGTAGTAGCAGGAAAAGGGATCTTGGTACAGAAGGCCCTATGAATTATTTTCATAGTGTAAACACTGTGGTTTATAACCATAACATTTGTAGAGATGCAAGCAACCTCCCCTAGAAACCCTGAACCAAAACTGCCCCAAACTGTTACATCCATGAATAATGCAAAAAATACTTATTCTCACCTTCTCTTCGGTAGAAATAGAAGTTACACTCTATCAAAATTAATATGTCATTAAAAAAATTTACCATTTAATATAAATGTCTTTTGAAAAAAAGTTAACTAATCCTACTATTAGGCTACAAAGTAAGTAATACTTTTATTCTATCCAAACATTTTTAATGTATAGGATTAATGAGTTATCTATGTTCATGGAATATGCTTAAATAAATATAGAAATATATATTCCAACATGGATGGTCCAAATTATGATTATTAGGCTGATTCACAGCAAGGTGCTTGTCACACAAAGCTTTTAATTTTCAGAAATAAATTTTACCTTTCTATACTTAACTTTCCTTAACATCAAATTCTAACCATTATTCAAAGCAAATGTGAATTATGAGACCATTCAAAAACACTGGATATAGGAACCTACCAAAACCATCAGGAAGATCGAGCGGCTGATGAAGCTGGTTGCGCGAGAGGTAGTTGCGGTGGCGAGCAGATCGTCTTCTAACTGAATCTGGGTTCCGTCGAGATTCTCCTGTATCTCTTTGGCTTACACGCTCTACACTTTCAGCCCTGCTCCTTCTGTGTTCTCTAGGATCTCTGCATTTCAGATAAAATTATGATGATGCACTATTCAGAATTTTAAGTTTATGTTTTTAATATATACATAAAAAATACATCTCATCTTTGAGAGGCAGGAAGCAAGTTATCTTTCATTAATAGGAATTTCAGAATTTCAGCAGGACATCTCTTCATTGCTTGATATATACAATATATTTCAGAGAAATATATTTTAAGCAGAATTCAAAGGGACCATCCTAAAGGGGGGGAAGGGTATATGCATTGAAAAAATACCCTACAAATCCTAGGATATAACAACCATGAATGACTCCCAATATACTTATTTAACTGTACTTTACTTTTCAGATATCACTTGGAATATCTCCTAACTCTTCTTTTCCATCATATGAATGACTATGAAAGACCCAATGTGGTATTAAAAAAGAAAAGAAAATTTCAAAAAGGAGCACTGAAATACATCAAATATGGTTTGATTGAGACTTGGTGATGGGCATTAGCCTACACATTGATAAATTCTTGTTTTCCAATTAATTTCATGAATGCCTGATAGTTTTCATACATACATCACATAAATTACTTTTTTTTATGAAAGTAAAGACTGAAAAATGTGCCCCCCAAAATTAAGTATAATAATATAAAGCTATCAAGTTTCATTGTCTCAAACATTAAATTCTCAAACTACATTTCCCTAAATGAAAAATTGAAATATATGTCAAATTTGAGATATTATGCTAGAATCCACTTAAATTTGTAAACAGATTCTGTAACAATTACAAACAAATAGAGACCTATTTCCAACTTAAAGTTTTATTGCATTAAAATATCTTCATTCATTACCTTCTGACTGGTGTTCCCTCTTGTGGCACATCAGAAGAAGTAGTATTGGGATTACTGAGCACAATATTTCCTCCTGCTGGTGACGTAGTCGTACTTGCAATTGTTGTGGAAGAAGTGGAGTGTCTACTCGGAGAAGCAACGCCACTGGTGTCAGCCGGCCTGCAACACGCGGCACTGTGTCGTGAGGTCGGTGCTGGTTCATACCAGGAAGATGAAGAGGGTCCAGTGCAAGGAGAATCGAAGGCAGAGTAGGGAGGACAAACCTCATGACAGTCCATTGAGTAAGAGGGAGGAGCCGAGGGTACAGTGGTTGGATTGGAAAAATAAGGACCATAAACCTCATTAGAACCTACAGTGCAATTGGGAGGGGGTGAAGAAGCAGATGAGGAGCAGGCCTGAACAGGTACTCTACCACAACTAGGAGAAGCAGAGGATGAGGATGTGTGTATCTGACTAGATACTCTGCCACATCTGTGAGTACCATTAGACACACAAGGTTGACTAGTACCTCTGGAACAGCTGGGGGAAGCAGAGGTTGAGGTACAGGGTTGACTAGAACCTCTACCACAACAAGGGGAAGCAGAGGTTGATGGATAAGGCTGACTAGAACTTCTGGGACAGTTGGGGGAGTCAGAGGATGAGGATGGGCAATCAGAAGAACAGGAGGATGAGTTGCAGGCCTTTGGGGCAACACAGGAGAATACAGATGAGAGGAAGACATAGATGGCACATGGACACACGAACGTCTTGTCACGCCGCCTGCGCTCCACTCTGTAAGAAGCCAATTGGGAAGACCAA